CCCCCCCCCCCCCCCCCTTCCCCTGCCCCGGGTGGTGACACCTGTTCCTGAATTCCCACGGCAAGCACCAATGGTTCCGAGACAACCACCATATCTAGTGGGAATTTAAAACCTTCCCTGAATAGCTCGTGATCGGGTGCGGCGAGCGCAACGTGATTTTCGGGGAGAAGCGCCCACAACGCCCTACGTTTGAGAGGAGCAATATTGAAGATACCCGGTGTCTTGCTGAACAATATCACCTATCTCCAACTCAATTTCCTTTATACTTGCTCCGCTCCTTCGCTGTTGGAACGCTCTGCTGAGTTCATTACTCTGTCGAATATAAAGCAAATTTATACTAATCAGTAATGATTGTTCGACGTCGGCAAGTATCGAAACGACCGAAAAGTTGAATGCCTTCCTTCTTGAAGTGAAGAGGATGTGGAAAAATGATCACATGTACAGTACTGAACTTTTTTGAATGAGACTACTGATTTGATGTTAGCCCCCGAATTGCTAGCTGAGGTTGAACCCCGCCTACCATTAAAAAATAATCGCCAATCCTTCTCTAGCCTAGTTTTTTCTATCTACCGGACTTCAAAATATTTTTAAGAGCCCAAAGGTAGAGTTTTGATCTAAGCTCCTCCCTTTTTAGGGCTTAGCCCTCCTGCTATGGAACCAGGTAGAAGACCCCCCACCCCCCACTAACACTGTAATCTTATTCCTTTACGCCTTCCAAATTTGATTGCTTTGGGTCCAAAGGGGCAGGAATCCCGAATCTGAGCAAACATTCACCAGGTGTGCTCAAAAAGCCTTTCTCAGCCGCAACTTGTTCCTTTTTGTCCAACCCAATCATTTCCTGTTACGCAACTGCGTATGCTTACCATAAAGCCCGTTTTCCTTTCATATGGAAGCCTCATACGTTCAAAGGAACATTAGGTATAATTTTTCGGTGAACCACATACACTCCCATACAACCAACAACACACATTGACAAGCCAACAGGCACACTTAGTGGTTAGTGCCCTATCCATAGTAGGGAGTCACATCCACTTCAGTGCTCAGCCCACCTGGAATGAAAATTTCTTCTTTCTCCCTTTGCGAGAGTTTATAACTTTTTTCCGTTTGAACATTTTCGAACAGAATGTAGAGTTTTTATCTAAGCTACGCCCGCAATGGTGCCTATAACGGATGGTTGTGTTCACATTTTTTGCTGACCTCCACCAACTTTTCCCCTACCTTTGAAACGTTTTTGCACCTGAACGTGCTTTTTGATTTAATATAAGCTCCGCGTTTGGTGGTGTTCTGCCCAAGAGCGAGAAAATTTAGGTACAAGTTCGATTCCCTGCACTTTCATTGCGCCTCCACTCTCTCTCGGTGGTGGTGTTCTTTTCCGACAGCACCATGAGCTCTGTGCGACTGGCGTCCGGTCGCGCGACTGATCGCGCCACCGCTCGATCGGTCGATGAGGCCGCGTTAGTTATGAGTGCCCCGAGCGGATCGAGCGACCAGTCGCGACCGACCGGACTATGACAGCAGCCACTGTCACCAATTATCGAACGAAAATCACAGTGTATAAAGATAATGAGAGAGCTTTTGCATGAAACTCCTTACTCATTATTTATATATTAGGTCCGTTGATAAAAATGTCCATCTGAGTGTTCAATGTGGAGAGTATGGGAGTTTATTTCAAATAACGTTGCACTCACTCTAAGCGAAGTTATTAACCGCTGTGAAATGTTGATCGAAACATGCACGAACAGCAACTAGTTTTTGCACGAACTGCATGAAATCGGAAGAGTCGCTCCTGTGATGTACAAATTGAATGGTCAAGGGGTGCAACCAGATAAATCACGCACCTAGGGCATTTTCCAAGAAATTTTGGGAACAAGGGGCATCTGCTGCTTTCCTTTCTTGTCAGACAATTTCAGCGCACCTATACGAAGATGATTCACACAAACTTACTCTCTGCATGAAATCGAATTATTAAATAACGAACCAGGACACAACATCAAGGGTCAGACCCTGTATGCGCTACATACACGTCTTATGCTGTAGGGGGAAACTGAAGCTTATTCACGTCATATGGGAAGCCCTGACACTAACATTATCAGAGGTAAATTCAATAATACGCGTAAATCATTCTATGGTGTATTGGGAAGTCCTGAAAGCGCTTTATATCCGCGTACTACATCTAAAAATAAACGAAATGAGTGCATCACCATCACGATAGACTTATGCCTTTCACTCCTTTGTGAGATAGAAGCCCTTCGTGAGGGCACTCATATTGAGAGCTCCGCACATGGTATACACTAAAACGAAAATCCGGTCCGGCACTCGGCTCTTACAGTAACCCCCTGGCTTATCCACCGCCCACCCGTGTCCTTGCCCAAAGCCCCTTTTCGACTCGTCGTATATGTGACGGGTAGAAATTTGCGTGTTAACACGTGCCGGATTACTGTAAGAGTCGAGTGCCGGACTGAATTTTCGTTCCTGTATGGTATACCAGGGAGCCTAGAAATCATCCTATGGGGAAATCTCAGAAACCGTTTTTATCGTGAACTGTGTCTTCAAAATATCATGGTTTTCAAGCTTCGCAGCTCGATTCTTTATTTCTATCTGATCGGATATTATTTTTATACAGACATGCTTTACAATATACAATATTACCGATGACTTTTTTGAAATTTGTAGTTGGTCACTTCTATCTTTCATCACTCCTTAGTATATTAAATCACCTCTCAACCATGTCCACGGCTCACCTTTTCCATCAGCCGTAAAAGCTTGATTAGGATAGTGAAAGCCGCAGCTGGCTCTGTGATTTCCCTCCCGGCGTTTCTTATCAGCATTTCTCAAATGGCACGGCTTTCTGTCACCCAGAGTGATGATTTCACTACACACTATATATTATAATAAAATCGATGGCCAAGTCTTGATTGTCAAGATGAAGGCCGTAACGATCTCCATCGTCATGCACATAAATACAAGCAACATCTTTTACTTTGAGTTTTTATGAGATTGAAAACGCATAAACCATTTCGAATTCACTTTGTGTTGCTGCTCTTTCCAGAGATCCTAACAATCCTTCCGATGAGAAATGGTTCACATTCGATCATTCCTACTGGTCTCATGACGGATTCAAAACCGAAAAAAATGGATATTTTTCCCCGGAAGACAGCCGATATGCCGATCAGGTACAAGAGGTTTCACGAGGAATTTTGGGAAACGGCAGGGAAAGGGAGGGAGGAAGGGAAACCAGGGTTTACTGCGATTGTTTTCAGAAACGAGTGTTTGAAGATCTTGGTAAGGGAATCTTGGAAAACGCATGGGCTGGCTATAACTGTTCACTATTCGCTTATGGACAAACAGGAAGTGGCAAAAGTTACTCGATCGTTGGATTCAAGGGCAACAAAGGTGGATTCTTGACTTATTTATAGGAGTGTTTCTTATGACGAAATAGGGGGTCCGGGTTTGGTGCACTTAGATCGCTTAATGTGGGTAAAAGAGCAGTGTTTGATCGCGTCGAAAGAGGTATTACGATGGTTTCAAGATGCAAGTACTAGTATAAATCATTTTCTCATTTGGATTTCTCAATCCCAGTGAAAGCTTTTTCTCATTTGGAATTTACTTGTCCAACTTAAACTCTGGGAAGCGCTTCTACTCGTAGCCATCTTCTATTGGGAGTATAACACATTAGCCGGAAGCCACATATCGACAGACATTCCAGAAAACCAGCACCCACTCCATCATTTTGGATATAATAGCTGTAGTGGGTCCATGAAAAAAATCGAAGCACAGTGAGGTGCCTCACGTTGAGCGATACAACTGCCCGTCTCTCTGTCTTGACTCTGTAACACCAAACTTCAGCTCCAAAACAGAAAGTTTCTAGGTATTGTGCCAACATTTTGCGAGGAACTTTTCAAGGACATTGAAGCGAAAAAGGAGAACTCTAAAAAAGCCGGCTCGTACGAAGTGTTCATTTCTATGTTCGAAATCTACTGTGAAAAGGTGCGTGAACTGTTTAACCTTCACCAAAATCCTCGTTCAACAGAAGCTTTAAAAGATACGAGATCTGCTCTCCAACAAAGAACCACCAAAGGGAGGTCTCAAACTGCGTGAACATCCGAAGACCGGATTCTATGGTGAGTCTATCATGAGATACTGTGAGATATTACCTGTTACGGATGTTAAGCTTTCGCGCCGCACCTCAATGCTGATAGTTTCAATGCTGATAGTTTACGATGGCCTCTCTTCTCGCTTTAAACCAACCCTCATTTATCGTCTCTCAGCCATTCATTCTATATGTACTATTGCTTTTGCTTTTGTTGTGGGGCTGCTTGTACATCGGTGAAGACAAAGCACTCAAGTAGACAGAGAGCCATTTTATCGGAAGCGGTCCTCAACCGCTTCTAATGAGCCGGCCAGCCACTCTAGTACATCATTTTTGTCTTAGCCATCATGCAGAACGTTAATGCAAAGGTATCAAAGATGTCTATTTGTAATTTCTCGAGTCCTCTTAGGCTCATGCATGGATAGACCTGACAGGGCCCGGAGAAAAAGAGCATTCTGAAAACATAAATCAACCTTGCAACCCAGAAATAGATCCACCTCCGTTGCAGGGCAAGTTCACGACACCTTTTCTTTGATCACGTACTGGTGCGGTCTCAGCAGGAAGCCTAGTCACCATGAGACTTGAAATTTTCAGTGGTAGGGAAGTAGAAGAGATCGTGGAAGCATTTAGCTATGCCTGCTTGAGCTCTGTTGGTATTTTCACTCGATTTGGCTGAGTTGAGTTTGTTTTTCATAACTGTACTAAAGTCTGGAAAGTCGAACGAGGAAACCAGCAAAGAAGAGCAAATAAATTCACTCGGTAGAAATTACTTCTTCCCTCTGCATCACTCTGTCCCGATTTCCCTTTGTCTTTTCAATAAACTTCTCGTCGTTCGGGAAGTCTTCAATCGCTGTTTTCGATAACTATTTGGGCGCTTCCTGTCTAAAGCAGAAGTTGTGGGAACGTTTTTTCGAAAATGCGTACGTGCGTACTTACGCTAGTTTGGAGTACTTGCTCTTCTCTACAATGCTACATGTGCTCTCTGTATCGCAGTGTTCTGCTTTAAATATGCAGTCAGGAAATGCTGCCCAAGCAAGACTCTCCCTTTCTCTACACTCGCTGTCAAGATTTTGTCAGCAGTCGCGATCATCTAACTATAAAAATGGTGTTGTTCTCATGTCTATATGAACAGCAAGCACCTCTGGATTTTCTCAGCCCACGAACTGCCCTATTGCTCGCGGCAAAATCATCTCCGGCTTGATCTTGTCCGTCCTGTTAAGCATGTAGGGTCAAGTGCACATTGGAAAACTCCCACCAAGGTCACACCTATCCACATTGACATGCTTATGAGATGCGATGAGAGCATAGTACTTGATACTTGAAGTATCCTTTCATCACAAAGACTGCGAATTCCTGATTATTGGAGTTGGGTCACAGGAATATTGCAGTTAGAGCAAGAGCGATCGAGTACATCAAATTTAGCCAGTTGAGTCAAAGAGCAACCATTATAACAGCCAACGGGTCCTAAATAAAGTTATTGATGCTGGCAGATGCAGCAGCCAGAAAGCTTCCAGGTTGATCCAGAGTCGGATGGTTTACAAATATCGCAACGCCTTCACATTCGCGCTATCAACGACGTGAGTCTTTAGAGTCAGTTTTCAGTGGAGAACCTGTCAAGTACACCGGTAAACTCGTACAAAGAAATCGAGGCGAAAATTGACCAAGGCACCAAAAATCGAACAATTGCTGCCACAAACATGAATGCAACCAGTAGTCGGTAAGCAATTTGCATACAGTTTTTGAAGGAAATGGTGGCTGCTCTACGAATGAAATACTCGATTTTGACACCAAGATTTATATAAAATTCTCTGTTGGTTACCTTCTCAAACGAGAACATTTAATTAGCCAAAAGATTTTCGGATTAGTGTTTTTAGTCCTCAATAGTATGTTACATATAGATTACTCAAGGTTTTAGAGGTATTGTAGTGAAATAGAAACAACGCCGAAGTGCAGCCAACCTATCTTCTCCAAGCTTGGCGCTTCGATATAAAGATATGTACGTCTAGAAGAAAGTAGCAGGTAATATTCAGAGCTCACACTATCGTGAAGTTACTTTTCGTGCAGAAGTCATCGAAATCCGGTGGTGGAACAACAACAAAGAAGTCCGAAATCAATCTTGTGGATTTGGCCGGCAGGTTAGTGATGATGAATGAAAAGCGACGAAACGTAGTGATTAACATTGTTCCGATGCCTAGTTAGGCCATTGTCTCCCTTTGAGATCTTCAAATCGCACTGAACAAGTTTGCCCATACCATAAGAATCAAGTTCATAGGTTTTATGACAAAATATGGCAATATACTCTGAATGGAGAACTAGGTGGGAAGGACGCTTCTCACGTTCTTATAGGATATTCTGCAGCTGCAGCAAAAGGAAATTCCCTTCTGCGCAAAGCTTCCGTTCATTTCAAGGGAGAGTTCGGGATGGGATAAAGAATAGAGGCTATAGAGCGATCAATGAACACATTTCTCTCGTTTTTGAGACGCAGTGGGTGTGGAAGCGTGAAAAGCGGAAGTAGGAGCTTCTTTCGATAGTCACATACGCCAGCCGAACCCTCCACTCTTCTGGGGTCGGTTAATTGGTACCAACCTAGTGCTGGAAAACGAAAACACTGACTTGTACCTTGGTTGGCAACCGAAGTTCATTGTAGAGGCCAAATACGCATTCAAGACGCCACTAGAATTTCGAAAAGAAGGCGATTGTGCGGCGCGCAACAAAAACGAGATTGATTGAGGCTTGAGGACTTCACCTTTTACAATGCTACATCTTGTTATACTATAAAAATCATTTTGAAGTTTTGAATATTTGTCGATATTCACCTTCACCACGTCGACCATGTCTCAGTGTGGCCGCTTTAGTGAACGTCAGCGGGATGCCGGTACTGAGGGGGATCGAATGAAGGAGGGAATCGTCATCAATCAGTCACTATCAACTCTCGGCCGAGTAATCAAAGCACTTCATGAGCAGCAGAGCAATAAAGGGAAGAAAATTCAGGTGCACTCCTCGCTTGCCGTTGGCTGCTTTCATAGTCGGCCGGCGTGCCGGCGGACTATGAAAGCAGCCGTTGGAATGCACTTCTCTCGTTTTTTGTTAAATAGAATATTCAGATCCCATATCGCGACTCCGTTCTGACGTGCTTGCTGAAAAATGCTCTTGGAGGAAACAGTAAAACCATCATGGTAAGGTGATTGGGTAATGAAATACTCCACTATGTATCCCTACACTCAATTACAGAATTCATTATTAATCATAGTAATGATCGGATAAATAACAATGGTAATACTGTGTACAACGCGCTAAGGGGGTGTTGGCTTATGTGTGTGGGTGTGTGTGGGTGTACGTTGGACGTTAGCACAAAACGCAACAATGTCGAACATTACATTACTTTCTCCGATATCGGTGGTATGTAAGTGTTCTCGAAAAGGCGAGACGGAGCCATGGTCAGCTGACTTGGAATATATGGATGAAGAGCATAAGATTTCAGACCATGCCTCCTCCCCCTTCTCCCCCACCACGTCCGATTAATAACAGTCAGATTTTTGAACGTTCCTGGGTTTCGCGAGAGGATAGGTAAGGGCCTGTATGGTGAGCAGTTCACTTTCAGTCTACTGACCACCCTTTTACCAACACCTGCAGTTCAGCTACACCGACGTATATGGTTGAAGCGACTGCAACGTAATAAGTGTTTTTCCGAAGCCGATAGTAAGTTCTGAGATGGTTGGGGATAGTTGAAGGTCGGTCAGGTGATTAGGTCATAACAACAAACACACAAACGTTATAGCTAACTGATATACGTGAGGTAACATTGGATCGTATGGTTAGCTCGCACAGTTTTCTCAAACCCCTGCCGTTGACTGTACGCTAAGCGCAAGCACCGGTGGGAATCTTTTTTGAATCTACGAGTTAATAGTAAGGAAGCTATAAAGATAAAGATGTACATGGGATATTGAGTTGCTAGCAACTCACGATACCGCTCGCTCTTACTGGTTGATATATGTATCTGGGCCTTAAAGGCACCGTTCACGACAAAAAAGTTATTGAGTTCTTACCTTATTAATACTCAGCGGCCCCCATGGGTTGTAGAAGGGTCCTCCTCACTCCCGCAATTTCGACGTCCAGGGCATAATGGCGGGCCCGTTGTTGTCGTAATTCGCATCTCCGCCCCTCGACCGATGTCACGTTAGACGAGTGTCGAGACGACACAGTGTCATGTAATCGTGTCAGGACCCATCCTGAACTGCAAATTGGCAAATCGCCAGAGACGCAAAGTGTTGTCTGCTATTGCAGACAACACATTGCGTCTCTGGCAACTTGCCAATTTGCCGTCTCTGACAACTTGCCAATTTGCCCGAACACTCTCTCACCGACGTTCTTTCAATGTGAAACTCGTCCAACCCCCTTTCCAGCTCTTTTTTTGGCCCTTTGTAATTCTTTTTGTTCATCGTGTTTTGCGCTTTTTTCGTTGTTATCGCTTTATTCTAGAGTAGTTCTATCGATTTCCCGTCAAAAAAAGGGTACACTAACTTTTTTGTGAATGGTGCCTTTAAGTTTTTATTACTATCTTCGGTTTCGTTGCTTAAGATTTATCTTTCACTTCTTGAACACCGGGGGAAGGATTGGAAAGTAAAACTTCATCTTTCGGATCTGAATTCACCTTACTTTCGAGTTCATTCTAGCTTGCTTATAGTTTTCGGATAAGTCATTCTGAATGACGCAACAGCTATCAATGACATGGATGTCTGTTCCACTAAATTGATCTAGTGCCTCATTTCAGATCGCTGCTATATCGCCTGCAGATATAAACTACGACGAAACGTTGTCCACCCTCAGGTTCGAGTATTTACTCTCAAAAACATAATCACTATCAATAGCAGTAACAACAATTACTTATCACTTACAGAGACAAGCATAAAGCTGAAACCCGCGCTGACGATAACTAGTGTTTAGGAATGTGCAGCGCTCTGCCCATCGCGGACCACAGAGACATGTACTAAATGTCTACCCTGCAGCATGACTTCCCAATGGAAGCGCTATCTGAGTCACTGTTTTTATCAGAACAGTTTCAACCAATAAGCGGGGTCCATGTGGATGAATTCTTTATCGGACGGATCCTGAGGACAATGAAGAAATGATCACGCTCGTCGCGCACCTTTCGAATTAATGCCTCTGGACCTCGACTACCTGGACCGCAGACACGAGTTGAAAGGTGATGAGGGCCCGATAACCAAAAGTTAAAGCCTAAGCAGCAAATCTTCGTCCGCTGCCTCGTGACGTCGAAAAGGATCCCACTTAATATCGAAAACCTTACTACCCGCCTCCATTTTGATCGCTTCGGCACACGCCGGATGCGATAAGCTCGGCATTCAGCTCGAGTCTGCAGTTTGCTACTTATACCTGACCTCCACTGTTCAAGTTCAAGTGGTCTCCGTGCTACACCATTGGTTAACGATAGCATAAGATAACAACAAGCAAAGCACCTCCAAACCGTGGTTCGTGTGGATCAGGACTAATATTTTTTTTTTCGGGAAGGTCGTCCACTCTTTAGTGGGCTAATTAAAGTCAGGTCCGGATTCGTCACTGAGCACCATTTACTGGTTTCTAAAGACGTTTGCACTCAATAGTGACAAAGCCTAGTAAGCTTCAATATCGGCAACGCAGGTGGGCACATCCGAAGTGATGGTGTTTTAATAGCCTTGTAGAGGCGCTGCACCTCTCACAATGGAGCGCATACTATGTTGAGGATTCAAACATCTAATCTTCCAGGGCTCTGTCACACAGATCGTAGGGAGCGATTCTAGCAAGTAGAGATACTGTAACCAACTCTTGACGCATTACACACGACTGGTACCCCCATACAAACGGGTAACGGAACTTCTCCCCTATCGCGGCATTCTCCCATGCGGAATGCGGCAAATGTCACTGCAATTACCGTACTCACCCCGCCTCCCTNCAATCGATAAGACGCGATATTTTTCGTTGATTGCCTTGCTTTTTTATTGGATTTGATCATTTTTTTCTTCTGTTTCTTTTTCGTTTTCATGTTTATTAGACTTGATTAATTAATATGACTCCTCCTATGTAAGCGGCGATCAAGATTGCATTGAAATTGAAGGAAGCGGTCAGCCAATTCAAATAATTAAATGACTCCCTACCTCACAAATTGCGCACTCCAATCTTCCATCGCAATCCTGCGATACGCGGCGGGTGCGGCGTGTGCGACGCCGCGACAAGGGAGAAGTTCCCGGACCCCATACAAACACTCCTTCCGTCGTCATAACCTCGCACAACCCCCGAACTTTACTAGTTCCAGGAAGCCCCATGTTTAACAGAAGAGTTACGGAAACATTCTGGATTTCCTACCATGCAGGTACTTAAAGAGACTGCTAGAGATAATTCCAGGAGTTGGTTGATTTTTCTCTAAAATCATGCTGAACTAAGCGAAGTCAAACTGTTGCCTTCAGTAAAACGAACGGTTGAGGAGTTGAACTGGCGAAGGTGTGCCAGCAGAATATCATGCAGTAAATCAAATCATCATAAATTGTTCGCTCAAGAGGACCTAAAAGCGGTGGACTTTGTCTCCACCACACTTAAGATATTTTAAATGCGTTTATGGTAATTGAAGACAGCCAATTACAAGCAGAAAGAAGCGAGAAGAAGCAAGATAGATTTATTCATGAGCGGATTCAATTTCCAGCGCAAAACATCAGTTTAAGAATGAAGTAAAACGAAGCAACATTTATTTAATCACAGTAGAAACCAATTCTCAAGTACCAAGTCGACCTTCAAAATGAACAATTCCTAGTATTCTATTAAAACACTGCAGATTTGCCGATCGAGCAAAAGCAATCAAGACGAACGCGATAGTGAATGAGAATCAAACAGAGCGGCTACTCCGTGAATTACGGGAGGAGAACGAACGCCTACAAAATCAGCTGAAAGGAGGTGGAAGTGGAACAAATGTCAGTATTTGTTTTTTAGATTTTTTTCTGAACTGAAAAGCCCAATCCTTGAAAGAACAAGAAATACTTTTTCGAAACCTAATCTTTCAAGTGAACATCATCCTATATTTTCAGAGTTACAAAACTCATATCATTTAGGAAGAAATCGAATCACTTCGACGTCAACTTGAACAGAACCAGAAGGAAATGAGCGAGTTGGAGAAGACATGGCAGGAAAAAGTCGCTGAGGAAGCTGCTAAGGTGAAGGAAATTTTCAGTTCACGATGAAGTCTAACCTGAATTCGAGACTGATTACGGACGAACCGCTCATTCGCGTCGAAGCACATCAGGATTTTCTCGTAAAATGAACGAAGATCAAAAAGCAGTTCCCGCTTCCAATGCACCTCTTTCAAACATCCAAACTACTACCAAATGGATCGCTTCATACGATACGGGTGCTACTTAACTTGACTCATTTTTATCGGCGTTTCACAAGTCTCCTAAAAACTCAAGAGTTTCTGAGAGGAGAAGCCGTCTCAAAGAAGTTTTTGAGCTTTTCCCGCTAAAGTTTGTTCTCTAAAACTACCTCAATAATTGAGGATTTAATTGGGGGAGGGTGCAGCTCTAGAGTGCAACAATTTTTGCGTGGTGGGGCGCCTTGCGATGCGTGGGACTTTTAACCGAACTGGCACTGCTCTCATCACACTCTTTGGGCATCGGAGCCCCACCAATGTGGTATGGTAAGGATTAGCAATCTTTCTGCGACTATTTTAGTGAAGGCCACTTGGATTTCGATTAGATGGTTACTGAAATAGCCGCAACAAAGTGCTGATCGTGACAATGCGAATATAGGTAAAACCAATCCCACAAAGTGCAATCCGAAAATATCGGCGACTGGACCATAAACTCTCTACTCGGTGGAGCGGAACAAAAGATCTCACACGTACTTGTGCCTTATATCTAATTCTCAACAGTAGGACATTGAGAAATGGTGCCTATAACACAAGCAGAATCTTCCTGGGGCACAGCCCACGTTTCGCGATCATCGGACGCAAGAAGTTTTCCTTCATCAATGCAGCGACCCTTTCTGGATTACAGTGCAGATTTTAATTGTCCTTGTTGCCCTGTACAGAAAAGCTCCTTTCTCTTACTATCTGGATTGGCCACATGCACACACTTCCATGCGCATTGTCACTGTACCAAACTGTCGGTTAGTGGGCACCCATTAACAAACTTGTTCTTCTTTCCTACTGCATACATGTGGTCCAACAACACGGTATACCAAAATAGCGTCGTGCTTTCTCTTGGGTCTATCAACGATCGCTAATGATTGGTATATACCATTTCTTCCAGAGAATCGTCTACGGTTTTGAACTTAGCAAGCCAGTTTCACAGCCAGTTTTGTTGTTTCAGAAGGTTTTTCCTGGAAAATGATCAGCATATCACGAGCTTATTCCGTCACACTTTTTGAAGTTTGGACTCACTAAGTGGAAAGAGTCAAAAATAACGGTTCCCGATGGTTCCGAAGGCTAGGGTTAGAACTGGTGTTCACCCTTCTACAAAACTCAGGGAAGGAAATGTTAAATATGGTGCTAAATTACAATAGAACTCTTCTTTCTAGTAGTTCAACTGTGAATACAATATGATAAACAAATCGACTTCTGTAGGAGTGCAGTATAAACATATGTATCAGACGAAGGTAGACAGAAAAGTGTATAACGACGAGGGGTTTTCGGCCGATCCCTTGTATTTGATTTCGAAACAATCCCACGTGTTGATAAACGATTGTCATAATTAAAACGAGCAAAACGACGATTTTTCAGCTCCAAAGTACATCTATCGAGCATCAAGCGATTCAGAAACAGCGTCAAGAAATTCCACACTTTTGGAACCTTAACGAGGATCCGGCTTTGACTGACGTCATCGTTCATTTTCTACCCCCAGGACAAGTGACGATTGGTACTGTTCAATACAATATAGTAAATTACTCGCTTTGAAATTCTGTAGGGATTTATCGAGGTCAACCATATACGACGAAGGGGAAAAGGCAGCTAAGGGAAGTGGCGTGTGAAGGAGTGGTCCTAAGGGAAGGAAAGGCAAAACCTATTGCTTTGATATTCAAAGGAAGCCAGGCCACGCTCGCCTGAGCATCAAGGTTCTACCCTGTACACTAGCTGCGTCCGGTGTTTTACGCGTGGCTCAACCTCTTCAAATTGGATGTGCCACTTTGCAAATCTGTACCCTGGCGCTTTCAAGCTTAAGTGATTGAGATCGAAATTTTTGAATTCTTTGGAATATTCCACGCTTCATTGATTGAAAGCTACAAATGTTTCAACTGAAATTGAGTTCAGGAAACAAAACAGCGGAGCCAGCTCCGATGGTGCAACTGAACGGTCTGTCAATACTTCCTCAACACGCCGTTGTGGTTAATTCGAAGAATAAAAAGCTGACAATCACGCCGTGCGGGGTGAATCTTTTTTGACCATCGGATAATTTTTAAGCTCTACTGGCACGTTAATTTGATGATGGCTCCGTACACATAGTAGAGCTAGTACCACAAATCTTCCGCTAGGCGTGTCTTTTCACGCAACAACTTGTGACAAAGCCTCTCATTTTTCAGGATAGGTGGCATAATTTCAGGAAGCTGAAATTCTCATCAACGGCAAAAGGCTCGAAAATACGAAGGAGCTGGCTCAAAATGACAGGTGGAGTGAATTTTGAAGACCTAGTATGCTAGTGAAACGTTTGGGAAGTTTGCGGGCGCCGCACAATGGCCAGTGAAGAGCCCTCGGCACCGGGAACCTTCTACATACTTTGAGGATCCTCCGTACTTACAACCTCCCTGCACCAAGCATAGCAACCCACATCCTAAACTGCTTCATCTTCGTCTAAAACTACCTCACACTGACACCATGGGGCATGACAAGTTGTCTGTACTTCTAACATAGGAATCCCTTGAAGATAGTGCAGGCTCTACAATACCGTTGAGACTCGTCCGCTATGGGTGTGGCACTCACACGATACAATCAATGACTGATCCCTTACTTCATATTGACAACGTTTCTTGACCTGACATCAGCAGATAAGTTACGAGGGTTGCCTTTTATATTTTGAGATTTGGGAACGCTAGTGTAGCAGTCTAGCAACTGACATCACTATCGTAAAGTCTGACTATTTTGAGGATACGTTGCGAAATTTGAGCGCGATTTGTGTTGTTTACACTAAGTTATAAGATTTTGTTTAGGCCAAGTTATGGTGTTGAGTCGTGAGCATTTTCGTGCGATTATTTTCTGCAGCCTTCGATGTGGACTAACTCAACAGCAACGCATGGATGAACTTAGTTCAATCTTTAGTGATGAAGCTCCATCCAGGGCCAGTGTTTATCGATGGTACACTGAGTTCACCCGAGGTCGTAGTTCACTCGAAGTAGAATTGCATGGAGGTCGTCCAAAATTAGTTGTTGTTCCGGAAACCGTTGATACTGTGCACAAACAAATATGCAAGACCGTCATGTGACCTATCGTGAGATTGGGACAACCTTAGGCATTAGTGGGACCAGCATATATTCAATTTTGCATGAACGTTTGACTGTAAAAAATTGTTTTTGAAAAATTTGTCAATCCCCCGAAAAAGGGACTCGTGTGGATAGGTCGGAAAAAATGCTCAAAAAATACAATCGCGGTGCTTCGAAACACGTCTATGGCTTCGAAACAGATGATGGATCATGGATTTATGCGCATGAGCCCGAAGGAAACAGCATCGACCGTATAGGTATTTCAAGATGAGCCAAATCCAAAAGCTGTCCGCGCACCAAGCACTTCCGAGCAATTGATCTCCTGTTTCTTTAGAAAAAGTGGACATCTCGCAACCGTACCACTGGGACAAGCAGAACGGTCAATTCTGAGTGGTATACCACCATTTGTTTGCCAGTTGACTTCCAAAAAATCAGGAAAACCAACTGCTGAAGGCGGATCACTCTTCACCACGACATTGCGAGCTCCCACACATCGGCTCAAACAACTTCATTTTTGAGCACTCAAAACAATGATTTGACAGGTCATCAGCCGTGTAGTCCCCGGGTGACCTCTTCTNATCCCATACGTAAAAAGTAAAATGAGGGTCCAAGGTTTTTCGATTCTGAAGAAGCCGTTAATGCATCCAGAATCCATGTTTTAGAGTTACCTACATCAAAGTGGCAAAAGTGCTTTGAAAATTGGTTCGAGCCCATGCAAAAGTGTATAGATCTTAATGCGGAGAACTTTGAAAGGCAATAAAGCGATTTCCAATAAAAATAAAAATAAATAATGATATTTGTTTCTGTTCCCAAATCTCGAAATATAAAAGGCAGCCTACGTATTGGGAGGGGCCTCCAATTCATCCTATCGGAGAATAACAAAACCATTTTTTGTGAACTGTACCTTCAAGCGAGTGAAGGGTAAATAAGGTGGGTGATGGAATCATTAGCAAGAAAGTGAAGCGTCTAGAGAAGTAGTAGTATTATTACTACAATTATCTGAATATCAATGGTTGAAAGAGGCTGAAACGGACTGAGACCTACGATGCCTCAACTTGTTGAGAACTGTATCCACAAATTTAGGGGGTGCTAGGGACGAGAAATAAAACGCCCTCTCTCGACTGTTTTTCGACCCGAAAGTCTCCCGCAGGACATTCTTGAAGGTCACACATTCATCTTAGGGCAAAATCTCAGAAACCATTTTCAATGTGAACTGTACCTCTGAGGATACTAGACATTTTTGATAAACCTTCTATTCTGATATCCTCAATATCCTTCAGAAATCGATTCGGAAAGTTCAATGTCGTGTCTCACTGTAATTAACAGACAGAGCTGTGTAGATAAATATGAGCATTTTAATTCGTTTTTTCCGTTTATTTTCAGAGTTCTGTTCGGAGGAAATCACCTATACGTTTTCAACAATCCTACAAAGGGCGGAGCTAGGAAAGACATCACTTATGAAGAAGCGCAAAAGGAGATCGCGCAAGGAGCCGGTATTAACATCTCAAATGATAGCGGCAAGAGCAAAGGTATTAGACAAATAGACAGTTATACAAACAGATAGACAAACAAACAGAGCAAACAAACTTGTACTTTTTATAGTAAAGATTATGGATTCTAGCTGACATGATTCTGGAGGAAGAATTGATTTCAATGATGCCATTGGTCTATCGGGCCAATGCGATGGCAGTCGAACTAAAGCGTAATGTGAAATTTGAATTAGTACTGATTTCACCGGAAATGCGAGGGCTTCATGAAGGATTAACTGAGGTGAATCTATTCTACTTCCAAATGAAGCTTAGCGCTTCTATACTTTTTTCTTGATCAAGATCTGGGTAAGCGTACACAATCTGGCCGAGGACACATACTTTATGTGGGAAAAAGCGAGATTCATGAATCGTTACTACGGTATGCAGGAAATGTATGAAAACAAACAGGATGGTGAGGACTGGAACATGCCAAAGGTTGGCGATATATTTCTACTTTCTTCTTTTGTGATATTCCATTTAAATTTCTTAAAGGCACAGTTCGCGACGAAAATGGTTTCTGAGATCACCCCACAGGATGAATTTGAGGCCTTCGCGTATATCAAATCTGGCACTATCAGGCCGCAAAACGGTCTAGAGGGATTTATAGATGCTCAAAAATTGGCCCTGTTATCATCGGACGAGTTTTACCGGCATGTAGGAGCTGCACCGATCACAAGGGAACCCATGTTCAATTAACTCGTCATGACCCAAGGCGACAGTGAAAGACAGTTTTGAACAGTTTTGATGTAGTCACCTCTTTGTGCAATAGCTGAAGTCTCGTCCAAGTACCCCTTCCATGTTATTTCCGTCATGAAAATCTCGTCCAACCTCTATTTTCCCTACTTTAGGGGAACCATATTTTTCCCAAAATCGGCGAATTCTCTCGCTTCCTTCACTAACGGTGAACTATTCTCAGCCTTTACTTCCACCTTCTGAATAAAAAGGGGTACCTCAAAATTCTCGTGAACTGTGCCTTTAATCGAAGTTTGCTCGTTGGAAATATGGGTGTAAGTATGCAGGGAAGCTAGTAACAAACTTACGGAATATGGCGATTTATCACTCTGTTGGCTGTTTGGTAACGCCCCTGTGAAGCTCGCGAATTACCAATATGGGCGTCAAGCCATATCACCACTGCAGCCAGTGAAGTGGTCGTCATCAGATGGGAAATAAACGAGCAGTTAGGTAGGAGCCAGGCAGAGTTTCTAAGGCATACTTAGCTGAGAGTGGCAATCTTAAAATCTTGGCAATAATATCGGCAAATTTGTAATTTCTCTTCAAACATCTTCCAACTTCAATGGTCTGCATTGGTTATTCCAATCCATAGTTCACTGCTCTTCCTTAGAGGCTACACTATTCCTTTTTTCCTTTTTCTTGTCTTCCACTCATTTTTGAATTTCTCGCTGATATTCTTGCTTGATTATCAGGAGCGTGATCCATTTTACGAGGCGCCAGATTCGAGAACGTTCCTGGGCTCGGCGATCGTCTTTCTGCAACCACTTGCCTATTTGATGGATTCTGAAGAAACGTATCCTATTGTGGATGTTCAAGGTTGGTACGTTTTGAAAAAACTCATGGATTTATTAGCTTTTTGAATCGTTATACCACTTTTACGGTTCTTTTCTCGTTGTAGTTCCCACGGATTTCCGCTACATAAGAATACTAAAGAAAGGACATGGATTGATCACCATCCTTACCGTCCACTTGAGTTGTTCGTTTGGGTACAGTGACCGCCATTGTGTCATTGCCATAAGTTCTTACCCCACCACAAGGGCGATGGTCGTGTAGCTATTCGCCGCACTACCACACTCTCACGGTAACGGATCCGAATCCTGGATCGACATCGGCGCAAGCTGAGCAACTCTTTCTCCCTACAGTACTTGCCATAAGAACTCGAAAGTTCACGCAAATACCGCGAACTCGCGTCTTTTCGTCTTTTCTCTATAAATCGGTTCAGCGTAGAGCAATACTCTCTTGCTTCTTTTGACCTGCCGCCTGCATTCTCCCAAGCATGAAAGCCTTGGTCCAAAAGAACAGGAGCTATTGATTCCCAGCGAAACACATAGAAACCGACACACCTTGTGCGCGCCCCGCCTGTCATAAGCGAAGTACTGCTCAAGTCCTGTGTGTTGAAGCAACATGGTTTATACCACTCCTATCCGAACTTGACTGTGTGCTTTTTACTACCAATCTCTAGTATCTCAAACCTGCCACCTGAACCCATATCAAATTTGGTATCCCAGGTCCAAACTAAAAATTTGCACGCATGTATAACCCCTAGCGGACGAGATCGGTCCGTTCAATGATATCAGACTGGAAAGATAAAAGTACGGACTTGTGCCATCGCAACTCGTTATACGAGCCTTATATGCAGTCATTACCCCACTAGATTCTGAATAGAAGACGAACCTGGGAACGGATCACTCGGACGGGATCTATCGACGCCCAATAACTTTTATTCTTTTATCAGCGATCACAAGTGGCATGTATCAACGTCTACTGCTAGCCTACACCGAGAACTGGTAAATATACTGTGAATATATGGGAAACGCTGATCGTCGTTTTCAAAGGTCGCGCTCATAGATAGCGTGCCGCGGAAGCATCAAAGCGGGTGTGTTTGAAGAGGAGGACGGAACATTCACCAGGAAGTGATTGGACGCGGCAAATGGCACGGCGAGATTCGTGGCGTTTAGGACGACTTTGGCCCTATCATTGGAGCGCAAACTTGAAGTGGAGTAGAATAATATGGTCAGCTGATTCTACCAATCTACTCTACTTCAAATTTAGGCCCCAATGGTAGGCGCTGAAGTCGTTTAAGTCTCCACGAATTCCGCCGCCCCATCTGCCGCGTCCATCAAATTCTGGGAGAATGTACCCATACCCGTTTGAAGATGTTAGTTTTGCATAAACATGAGTTACTATCCCTCAAAGAAATCCTGCTGTGCGTTGCAGTTCCACTTTAGCGTTTTATTTATACTACAGTAAGACGAACAGTGCTAACTTCATTTCAGGAAATGAGCTTGGAGAGCTCTCTGTAGTGCTATCGCCATGTAATCCATCGGGGAAAGAACTAATCGGAGAGTATGTTAGTGATCCGAAACAAACCGTAAGTCAGCCCAGTTAATTTCCTACTGGTTCTGTTGATATACTGCCTATATTATACGCAAATGCATCCCCAAAAAGACAAATATTGCTCCATCCAAGCCGGCATTTCAATCAATCAACTGATACCAGAAAGCCTCCCTATGCCACTATTTATGCATCATGCGAAATGCAGAAAAATCCTTTTTGGAAGATGGTTGCAGAAAGAGAATTTAAAAAAACTTCGGAAAAAAACTATGTCACATCCAATCGCTTTCCAGATGCATTATTCCCTAACGGTTATTGACTCTGATTGCACATGGGTAGCCCAGAGCCCTAGCTCAAAGGGGATCTTGATGGTCAAAGAAAGTGAATCTCTACTTACCAAGAAGGGATAGTTCACTTTCGATGAAATTTCGAATGGTCTGATAAAACTTAAAGCCTTCTGAATGATGTTACCGAGAAGGGAAATTGAAATCGCAAAACGGTTTTCCAAGAAAAAGTTCTGAGCGCTGAAATTTGCTCGAAGTAGTGTTGATTGGAAGTACGCAGTCATCGTCTCGGTATTGAGTGTCGGCCTGGGCAGAGGCAGTACTCTAGTTTCACAGACGGTGCATGCCTGTTTGCTTATCGCTCCGCTGATTTCACACAGTGTTTTTTTCTTCCATTTTGGCTTTTGAAACCTTTGTTGACCTTTGTCCAAAAGAGCGCCTGATTTCTTTTCAGGAATAGAATCTATGGCTGCTTTCATAGTCCACGATTCGGCCCGCGAGCGCACGAGCGAGCGAGCAAGAGACGGGGGCGGCGCTTGCCGCCGCTTGTTTACAACTGAATCTTGGTTGATACCGCCGGACGAGTAGTCCCCCGTCGCTCGCTCGCTCGCGGGCTAAATCCTGGACTATGAAAGCAGCCTATCGCGTAACAGACGACGATTCGAAAAAATTTTGAGCAAAAGCGACGTCGAACACGCAATACTTTTGACTGGAAAAGATGTGATGTGTACCGTTATGGAACTTTCAACAGGTGTTTGCCAAATACATCACGNACGTCCGGAACTGGGAATCACCACGAATGGTGTGCTTCGACATGATAAACTCGGATGGTGTGCCTCAAAATGATAAATTCGGACAGTTTTCACATTGCTCATTCAGTTTCTTCTCGTGAGTGCCAATGTGATGCTTTCAAAAGTCTTTTCGAGGATCGTCCTGGCAATAAGGTCATTGAAGTTGACCGTGAGAAAAGTCGTAGTAGTCGATAGTCTCTGAACAACTTTTCCAGGCCCATACAGAGCGGTTCCAGTTCCTGTTTCTCGGTTTTTGATTCTTACGCTTCAGAAGAGAAGATCGTAAGGGCGGGGGCGTTATCTTGATCGCAAACGTCCAATTCAGATTGCTAAGCTTTCGCACGAATCAGTGTTCATGGCCAAGAACATGTCGACAAGGACAACTGTATACGTCTGCTGCCGCATGTTCCAATAAGCAATTCTCCTAAGTCTACCTGCGTCTCCTGAGTCTACCCGCGTCTTTAAGTTTGTACCAGTGGCTTTTATTCCGCGATCTACTCCCCTACCAGTCACCGGAGCTCGCGCCAGGTAGCCATCAACCAGGTATTCTTTCAGTAGTGGATGACGCTCCATGAAGGAGGTCCATGGAATACTGGCACTATTATTAATAACAACAATATTAATATCGATAATCATATTGATAATGAGACAGTAGTGCCATTTCATTACCAAGGAAGCCGTTTGAGCATAGAGAAACTGATTTGGAAATTCATCAGATATAGCAGCTTCATATACACTTTCCACAGCATGAAAAGAAAGTATCCTAACTGTTGTCATCCGCTTCACCGATGTTCACTTTTCTTATAAATAACCAGTAGGATCGCCCGGCAGACGCCGGGCTCGCCTTCTTCTCGTGTTGAAGTTGCCTCCCCGCCTACACCCTTTTCACATTTGGAGGCTTCGGTAAATGAGAACAGGAATATTTATTCTCGGCCAAAAGCACAAACACCTAAGACAATTCGTGCGCGCTCTGTCCGCCATGAACGAACCTCTTGGGTTCTGTGTGTTTGAGTAACTCGATTTATTTCCGACTCATTCAACCTTGGTTTTGAAATTTCGCATCAAGTCTAAACTTTTTTTGCCCACGTTTCGCCTTCTGTGAGCGGAGTTAAGTTCTGGCGCTCGACATAGGTGCTCCCATCCTACCGCCTGTATTTCTATTGAATATGAGCGCCCTGGTTCCAAGTTGAAATTTTTCGCACAAACCCCGCACCAAGTGGGCGAAGTCCGATCTTGCGGCCCCCATAAGTGCTCCTATTCTGCCACCTGCACAACCACCAGATTTGAACACTCTAGGTACACTGAAGCGGGAGCTATGAATTTCTACTCAAACCGCGCCCGCTGTCCCACTGTGGGCGGAGTCTTGTCCTGCCGCCCAGGTTAACGGAACTTCTCCCCTATCGCGGCATTCTCCCTTGCGGCATGCGGCAAATGTCACTGCAATTACCGTACTCACCCCGCTTCCCCGCCAATCGATAGGACGCGATATTTTTCCTTGACTGGCTTGCTTTTTCATTCGATTTTGTCGTTTTTCCTTCTGTTTCCTTTTAGTTTTCATGTTTATTAGACTTGATTAATTAAGATGACTCCTCCTATGTAAGCGGCGATCAAGACTGCATTGAAATTGAAGGAAGCGGTTAGCCAATTCAAATAATTAAAGGGCTCCCTACCTCACAAATTGCGCGCTCCAACTTCCATCGCAATTATGCGGTTGGCGGCGGGTGCGGCGTGTGCGACGCCGTGTTAGGGGAGAAGTTCCCGGACCCTGCCGCCCAGCATAGGTGTTCCCACCGTGCCGCCTGTACTCCTACTAAATTTGAAGGCTCTAGGTCCAAATTTAATTTTACGCACAAACCAGTAGGTTCATGGGAATCGGAGTTATGAATTTCTGGTCAAACACACACACACACACACACACACACACACAAACCAACAGACACGCCTAAAGCGTTCCATATAGTAGGATATTACAAAAGTAGTATATAAAATCATAACTTGGTCTTATTAACAGGTTTAATTTAAAGATTTAGATTGGCAAAAGCTATGGCTTCATGGTGAAAATTCAATCGGCTAGAGGCCTGCCTCGTCGCATAGAAAAGGTTAGCTTTTGAGAGTATATTTCAAAGTGGCCACCCTACTATAACACTATCAAACATCTTTCTGAACCTTCAAACGGTTAGATAATGAAGGAGATCGTCGACTCGACTTCTCACCTGCTCACATTTCCACATTTCGACTTCCTGCAGCACTTGCATCAGTGACTCGAAGCGTTTCGCATTCATCTAAAGTTTGATGCAAATGCTCATCAACAGCGTCTCATACGATGACTGGATTAGCAGTTGTAGAAATTTTATTAAAATGAAACTGAATAAAAGGTGTAGGGGCTCTTGGTAGTGTAGCGGTAATCACGGCAAAGCGAAGGCGCACGCGGATCACACATGTATGTATGTGTAATTGAAGGGAATTCCTCCCAGCCCAAATGTTTCGCTCATTATCCGGTCACCAACATTGGCCCTGGAGATACCACGACAACTTGTAATATTAGGTCGATGCATAATTATTGCGGATTTTTCAACAAATTTTATTTAACGAAACGATAAAAATATTAAACAAAAATATGGTTCAAATAATCACTTCGGAAATTATCACCATCTACGTTAAGCACTGCTTCCCATTGGCTATATAGTCAGATTCCAAACGCGAAGTTTTTATCCTTGGTAGCGATCCACGCCTTGACATCGGCCATCAAGTCATTCAAATCGACGTAACTTCTATTCTCTAGCCATTTTTTCGATGAACGGTTGACGAGATAATCCATAAAGATTTCTGCTGGTGAATGTGGCAGATTTAAGGGCAGATCCCATTTCTTGGTTGGCTCTGGATGATTGTTCCATCGCCGAAAAGTTACTGAGATCGCGGAATGACTGTGCCACCTTCCAATCTTTCTCGAAGTAGTGAAGCCTAATTCCGCGAATATGCGGATGGTTTTCTAAGTACATTTTTGTAGAGTTAATCAAGCAGATCATTTCTAGAAAAAACCCGAACTCAATATTCAAATTCTATCGAGAGAAAAAAAGCCGCGAAAAAATCCGCATTAATTATGCTTCAACCTAATATTTTCGTAATTGGTATTCTTGCACCAATGAAATATAATTATTCTACCCAGAAAGCTGGTTTTCTCCAACTCTCTGCTTGACTTCCCTTTGGAACTTACTCGTAAATTTTTAAGATGCAGCGACAAAACGAAAACTATTTCAGAGTTCTTGTAAGTACAAGTTTTTCAATGGCAAAGAAATATGCACACAAATGTTGCCCGGAAGCACTCCATCCTACTCTCACGAGCAGATCTTCCAGTTCAAAGCCATTTCACCCGAGGTGAGTGCAAATGATATGATGCGAAGAGTAGCTAATTACTTCCGTCGGAATATAGTCATAGTAGGCAATCGTTCGTTGTGAACCTCACTTACAAATGTGGTCGAAATCCAATTTTCAAGGATTAGCTCCTACGCAGGTCAAGAAGATTCCGTTGGGTATCAGGCTGGCTTAAAATGCTTGTCACTCGTTTCCTAGAATAGCTCATGTCTCCAAGTAGAACTCTCATGACCGGTCTGACCTGGCCTGCTATTATATTTTTTTATTATTTATTTCGACGTGTTTGCAGTCTACGCTCAATACTGTAGCATTCAGCTCTCGGACTACCTCCTGAACTCGAATCTCTGCATCTCACTTTGGGGTACACAGAAAGCTCGACAGATGAACGTCTTGTCAGCTCAAACGGTCAGGCGACGGCAGTCAATGACGGTGAGACGTTGTGTGATAAACGAGAAACAACAGAAATTAAAAAAGAAAGAAAAATAGGAGGAAGACGGCAGAGTACTTAATGTTATATTATAGTAGCGTAATAAACTGCGTTTAGAAATGATACAGCCACCTATGAATTTCACCAAATATTTCGTTCCAATGCACTCCAGAAAATAGACCGGTATGGAAAAGTATGCCATAGTCGGACCGTAGCTTGTAGACCACCAGCAATTTCCGTTTCAATAACATGAACGATTCTCCATTTTTTCAGAGAGGCTACTCTACCCATTTTTCAAAATGATACAGTCACTAACCAAATCAATTTATTCGACAGCTATATGATACAGACAGAGAAAGTTGTGTGTTCAAAGATCAACTGCACTCCCAGTACTTCGACTTACCTCAGAAAAGCAGTTGTCTAGGCTAAAGTAAAGGCCATAAGGTTATTCGTGAGCTGGTGATAACTTGGTGCCCAGCATCGACCATAGCTACCTTTAGGTTCCTCATGCCTCCAAATTGCTTGTTCCCTTCATAAATCTTCCTTACTAAGAATTCCCTTAGGTTTTCATTTGACTCGAGTCAGGATTTTCAGCAGACCAGAGCAAAAGGTCGTTCGGTGCCGACTAAGCCAGGCCTGGGTGCTCCGGCTAATGTGAATAGGGGCATCATTCTGCATGAATACGAGGTTCTGCTGCCGATTCTGACGCCAAAAAGGGGGAAAAGCACAGCGCATCACGACTCGATACCCGGAAGTGTTGAGCTCCTTCGGAAAGGAACATAAGACGTTGAAGGGAGAGAAAATCGCCGCCCATACCATCACTCCTTCCTTAGAGCTTGTCTGGAAAATCGGAGCTTGTCCTTTCTCTGATCGTCCCAGTACAACCGGTTGCCATCTGGGCCATCATAGTTAAGTTTTTTGTTTTTTCATAAAAAAAAACAGCATGAAAAACGAAACATAAAAAGAAGGGAGAGTAAACGACAAGATTGAAAGGCACCTTCCTAATCGGTTCGGACGTAATTCCTGGCAAAATAGAAGCAATTTTCGCGATGCTTTCCGGTCAAAAGGGTGCCTTACTTATTCTCCGGCCAACGATAAACTCAGTCTTATTTATTCCAATCGTTGAGACACTGAGCTTCAATAAGGGCTCGATTCCCGAACATGATACAGTCGCATTCGACGCTTCTTTCAAAATCTGTCTCTTGTCTTTCCCCGAAAGTAACGCAAGACGCCCCATACCCCTTTTGGCCCCATACTACGCTAGATTCCTAACGAATTGATCGACAACTGCGTGGCATCGGCCCAAATCTCGAGCGCTCATGCGGTTTGACACTCTATGTTAATCGCTTCACAAATTCTAGCGAAATCAGAAAGCAACTTTCTTTCACCCATCACCTGAAATTGGAAAACATGAGACAAATGAAGCAATTGTGTGAATAGAACGCGACGGAAAATTATGAGGTGTTATGGACCAAGTAGGGCACACTTTCCCTATTGAGCCTTTTGCTTAACCCTGGAAAGCGAGCTTTAGTGGAATCATAGAAGGCTGTATCATTATTTAACACGCTGTAGTAGTAGCATTTATATGATCATTCAATCCTTACATTAGTTACAGCGGACAGCGTCTACCCCTAGTTTAACGTTTAGAAACTACTTGCATCCATTGGCGTTTACCCTAGTTACAGTTGTTAATCTTAGTGGTATTTTCATTTCTTTTAGGAGTCTACTGAAAAACGTCGACAACGAAAGAAAAGGCCATCGTCACAAGCACCAAGAGCTCAACGAGACGAAAACGAAGCACCGCAAACGGGGTACTGGTTTCTGGCATTTACCAAGTACAAACTGCTTTGAGCAGTAGGAGTACTACTTCATGCTTTTGCAACTCATAGAACCCCTTCATTGCGCAGCTACGAGGTTGCTGCCAGAACAAACTCCGTTTTAAACCCCCGACCAGCGGCCATGCTTACTCCTTTGATTGATCCTGTGTATTGATAGATTCACAACCGCTCGCACTTACGGTATACCAGACAGCAAAGCTTCAAACCTTGCCTCTCTGATTTTAAATTTCTTATTTTATTTGTCTGCAGATCTGAAGGAAAAACTTCAAAGCCGAAGAAGAAATCGTCATCAAAGACAAGGAAACCAAAGAAGGAGGCCTCGTAGTTCGTACAATAAGAAGATACAATCACACGATCTTCGTTTCGTTGTATTAAACGGTGGCGAGAGTATTAAGTGCATTCTTTGTCATTGCTGCATGTGTTACCGAACTGATCTGATCCGCTTAGAAAAGGCGTAATTCAAAACGAGCCCCAAGATGGCAGAAGGCTTCAGTTTTCCAGTTGTAGCAAATCGATTGTAAACCAGCTACACAGTTTATTTCCTATCGTGAAAACGTGCTTTTCATGAAAATAATTTGACACATCAACAATCAGGTGAACAGATAAGTCACAGTCAAGCAGTTCACAGAAACAATGAAAAATCGCCAACCTCCAGGTACCCTGTTATACCGGTTATAAATAAAAATTCGAGAAAAACGAATCTTTTGAAATGCATTTCAGTTGTGCTGAAATGTTATAACATACGACATACGAATTGTGTATGCAGATTAAGTCCTAGATTTCTACGATTTACCCACCCCAATTGAACAGGAGGATAAATTGACCCATCGACCGCTGCATCCTGTGTCCACTTGTTGTTTCCAGAACATTTAGAAAAATGGTGTTGTTATAGCCATATTAACCCTTTGACGACAATGGCACCCACCGGTGGATGCCAATATGACCGGCACATGGGACATTGGCACACAATTTTGGGAGACACCATACTTTCTTGTTTCTCACCACTTGCTGAATTTAGCTAGCCGGAGGAAGAATTCTCTCCTGGGACATGCCGCGCAAAAGGAGGGGAACGTGGTCCCATAGGCGCGTCACCTCAAAATCCGCATTGTCGTCAAAAGGTTAATTATGTATTAGGAAAAGAAAACGAAAAACATGGAAACAGTAAGAAGTATCTAGCGGTATAGAAGAGAAATAGCTCAATAGGAAAGATCAGTCTGGCAAGACTCCAAGTATCGATATTATAAATTGAATGTTGGAAACAGGAATGTGCGACTAACAGTAATAAGAAGGGTGCTACAGGAACTCCGCTATTTATACTGAAAATTATTACCAATTCAATGTTTACGTGTAATCGCGTCCGGATGATGTACTGTAATGTCACCGCTAAGGTGCGGACCAGCGACTACTATTCTAAGCGTATCCTCTGTTAAGGAAAAATTAATTTGTAACTAAAGAAAGTTGAAAACGACACGTGTCTTTCAAGTTTAATCGCAATTCCAAAACGTGTGTTGCGGTGTGGCATGATGCTCTGATTTCCCTTCCTATTAATATCGCATGGTCGAATTTAACTTCCGATACACGATTAAAACACTGAATTTGTTACTCAGCATCAATACCCCACCCAAATCCGCCTGGTCTTTCGTCTTCGGTCACAGGTTCGGTTGGTCGCTCGTCAAACAGCCACTTCAACCAAGCGGGGGTCACCAGTAGGCGCATACCGTGTTGCTGATGAGGAAACACGTCTTCTAAGAAGAAGTAGAAGTGACCGCAGGCAATTCCTGAAATTCAAAAGCATCTTCGAATAATCCAGCATCAGACGAATAGGATTGCAAGGGTGGTACATACAGGGTGGGCCAGTGATGATGATGACACAGATATCACATTCGCGAAAACGAATAGAAAGCTAATGAAATAGTTTATCACTAATCTCCTATTTGAAAAGTACATTGAAACTGAGATCTGTTACTTCCGCCTTCACTCAAGCCCCGAGACGACGATAGAAGGCGGCACGCAATTAGGATCAACGATTTGATCCCGGTTTTTCGCAAAGCATTTTTGAGATTACATAATCCTTATTCAGGCTGACGCACGCTTACATTTCCCAGGTTGACATCCATGGGATTTAGTCAGAGCTTCTAAGTAGCTACTGATCGAAGGTTATGAAGTCGGAGAGCTCCTCCTATGATTTTCCTGGGCAATTTTTGATCTGCGGTCAAGAGCTCCATCTTGATAATATGTATGATTCGATTTATAAGCGTAGCGCCTAACAGATTCGACGCAGTTTTCTTGAACGATTACTCATAGAATGCTTTCAGAGCGTTACGATTACTCCGCGAGTTTCTTGAAGGAATCGAGCTCTCGTCTGAACCGTAGGCCCCTCGCGTCCACTCTCAGTCTTCATCCGAACAATGCATTGCTCAGATGGAACTGTTCAACCTGTCAGATACTCGATTTAAAACCCTATTAATTCACAAGTTTATTGTTTCCTTGAATTCTGAAAGAGGTCCTTAAATATGCTTCATCAGGCTGACATTTCGGTGGAATCGCCTTCGTCAGAGCCTGAAAGAATCACAACAATCTGTGACTATCTAGAGGAGATCCAAGCTCTGAAGAAGGCAACTCCGCCGAAACGACAGCCTATTAAAGAATATTTACAAACCTCTTGGAGAGTTCAAGAAAACAAGAAATCCAGCACTACAATTATTCATAGAAAGCTGTACATGGAACCAGCATTTTCTCTCTTCCTTCTTTCATGTAGAGTTGTTAATGTCAGTTGTGACGATTGCCTTATTATTGAACTTTGATCTTTTTATGCGCATGGGTATTAATCTCTGTTTTAAGGATGAATCTTGCACTTTATTTTCTTATTTTATCGTCCGAAATAGGATTCACTTGCTTCCACTCGATGCTTGATGCAACGCCAAAATGTCTAACATGGTAAGGTCAAACAGTTCTCCATATCACCTTTGACTTCTTGAGGGAAAACAATTAGCGGTGTTACCGCCTCGACGGTGATGCACGAAAAGAGCAACAAAGAGAGAAGTGAACCTTACGCTGTATCACTTCCTTTTCTGTCTTCGTATAAATCCTGTCTTTTTGCTGATTGAGCACGTCTTTCACTGAGAATATCCATTCGTCGGTAAAAGGAATTTTCCATGACAGTAAAATCAGCGTAGCAGCCGATGTGAGCACACATCTCGCTTTTCTTTAGCTTACTCACTCGAAAAATCACTCTCCGATCGCACAAAGGCAATCTCGTCATGCGAGATATCCACTCCTTTGCTCATTTTGTGCGCAGAGTGATCTTTACGGCTACGAGTACTTTCACCCTGCTTCTTTAACACCCCTCCTGAATGTGATCCTAGGCCTCTTATATCTATTCCTCCAATGCGCACTTGTTCCCAACTTGTAAAAACGGCTTGTAATTGAATATACTACCTGCCTTATTACAATGAGTCGTCCGAATATGTCTAGCGCCAAAGTCTTGTAAATGCAAAGTGATGGCTGATTCACGGGGTAGAGAAGCTTTCATTGTCTTTACAACCTGTCAACAGTTGAGTATTGGCGGGAAAGAAATAACGTAACTTACCTTGCGAAATGAAGAAATCAAATGGAACGGTACAAACTTAGGAAAAATTTGGTGTGAGGGGCAGCGCGCGCTGTCACCAAAATTTTGGCTCACATGGCCGCTAAAAGAGGATGCGAGAGAGCGGATTAAGATTTTTCAAAACAAACTTTCTGTTAAACTCATCACGTNTATTAGAACTTGAGTTTAGCATGTTTATAAGAATACATCTAAAACGGCAATGTACAACTGACAACTGCTCGGTCGAAAACTACTGAAACATTTGAGATGGTTTACTACCTGTATGGCTATAGAGAGACTGGAAAGGTGAACTTCTGGAGAAAGACGCAGCGAACTGATAATTATGTAATTGGGGCTTAAAGTCCTCTTGCTTCTGTGTGTGGTTGAGTCCAGAACACAAGTGGTTGATATTACTCAATGCCCTTGTTTTTGACCTGTTCCGAATAACCACTTTCGTGCTTCTCCTTCTTAATCATGTCTATATACAGGGTGGGTCAAAATTACGATTACAGCGCGCGCTGACGCTCATAACAATTTTTTTCTGAGTTCCTGACAATTCGCTCGCTTTCTTCCATTTCACAAGGTAGATTACATTATTACCTTCCCAATGATACTAAACTTTTGGTAGATTTTGAAAGCAATGTAAGCGTCGCTACCCCGTGAAGTGAATCAATCGTCGCTTTGCATTTACAAGCACTTTTGGCACGGTGACGACTAGGGTCCGGGAACTTCTCCCTTGTCACGGCGTAGCACACGCCGCACCCGCCGCGTGTCGCAGGATTGCGATGGAAGATTGGAGCGCGCAATTTGTGAGGTAGAAAGTCCTTTAATTATTTGAATTGACTGGCCGCTTTCTTCAATTTCAATGCAGTGTTGATCGCCGCTTACATAATAGGAGTCATTTTAATTAATCAAGTCTAATAAACATGAAAACGAAAAAGAAAAAGAAGAAAAAACGATTAAATCCAATAAAAAAGCAACGCAATCAACGAAAAATTGCGTGTCCTATCGATTGGCGGGAAAGCGGGGTGAGTACGGTAGTTGCAGTGATATTTGCCGCATGCCGCAAGGAAGAATGCCGCGATAGGGGAGAAGTTCCGTTACCCTGACGACTAGACGACGACACTGTCTGCGACTACGACTACAGACGACTTAGCGTAACAAGGCAGGTGGTACATTCATCCGTATGACGCTTCCGAAAGTTGGGAACAATTGCAGACTGGAATCGTAAACCTAAGAGGCTTGCGGCTATACTTATGGGGAATTCTGAGAAGTAGGGCAAAAGTCTGCGTAGCAGCGAAGTACATTCTGAGCCCAAAATGATCGGAAAAATAGTTATCTCATGGAGTTTCCAGCGCGAAACCGTGAAGAATCATTTGCACAACAAGGCTTTTATACAAGAATCATACGAAGCTTGAAGAAATGGAAATGATACAGCGCCAGGCTCACTGACTTTCTGCGATGGCCTTTGCGAACATCACCGGCAAAAACACCCGATTTTTTTCTAAATTCGGGAGTGAAAGTTGATTTGGAGGCCTGTGCGATTCCGCCGTGCGCAACAGGACGCTTCGGCAATTCAAACCGGACATATTGTCAAGATGAAGCTCCTGACCGCAGCTCAGTAATTGTCTAGAAATTTCGCAAAAGGGGTTCCGTGAGTTCATAAATTCTGATAAGTGCCCCTGGCGCCCTTATCTGAATCCCATGGATGTCTTAGTGTGGACAGCCTTTGAGATGAAAGCATCCGTTAGCTCAGACAAGAAGAGAAATAATCTCGAAAATGCCTTGCAAAAATCCGTGATCAACTCGGTGGCCTTAGCTGCGAGCCACCATCAATGCCGTCCATCGTCGTCTCTGGGGTTAGGTTGAAGCAGAAAGCAACAGTTCCCGGTTTCAATGAACTATTTTGATAAGAGAGTAGTGATAAACATTCTCCTAAAATTGGAATGCTTTATTAGCTTGCTATTCGTTTTCGGGGATGTGATGTCTGCGTAATCACAATTTTGGCCCGCCCTGTACATGCAGCGAACAACTACATATACATTGTGCATGAGTAGGGTCTAAACGACCGGTTGTTGTTGGAGGTTTCCAACTCTGAAGAAGGCGATAACGCCGAAACGTAAGTTGATAAGAATTTATTTACCATCTTGGCAGCAGGTTTTATTAAAATCTTATAAAATATATATATATATATATATATATATATATATATATATATATATATATA